TGTGCAGCTGCAGTCACTACAAAGCTCTAGAGCATGGCTGTTCAAGGGCAGTCACACAAGGTTACAACACTCAGGCATCCTCCGTCAGTGCTGGCCTGCCCTCATCGGGAGTCTACACACACAAGTGTCCCCTCCAGGAAGAAAACTATCATGAACTAAACAGAACAACACAGCCAGAAGCTGCACTAGAACAATACTGGTTCCCATGTGCACACACACACATACACACATGCATGCATGCACATGGACACGCACACGTACACCCATGCACACACCAAAGAACCATGTGTCCTCCAAAAGAAGAAAATCTTTGCCTTGCGTTTCACATTAATACTTTTAAAAGTACTTCTTGTTATCAGCATGATATGTCATAACACTACAGGCCCCTTTCTTTGCAGTCTTTCTGATATTTCTAAACTCGTATATTTTCTATATTCTTTTCAGTTATCCAAAATTAATAATAGCAATGAATATAACTAACTATCCAAAATGCTGTTTCAAAACAACCATCATCATGCTTCTGCTCACAGTGGCGAGTGTACCTAGTTAACTCCTCTAGAACATCTCTCCAGGCACCCCAGCACAAGAAAAAGGGGAGCAAGCTGTGCCAGGCTGAGGCTGATCTCACAGGCAGCGCTGAAAACGCACCGCAGACCCACAGTCATCAATCACTCACCAATCTTACTTTGCATCTTGGCTACAAAAGAAAATGGGATTTGTTTCCCTGAAGAAATATGTCACTGCTCTGCCTGAATTATTAAGCTTTACTGTTACCAAGAGAAACAGTCAAGGAAAAAAATTGGAAAATAAAAATAGAGCCAGGTCGCCACCTACAGTCAGAAGGCAGCATTGCTGGGTCAGGGAGCATTTTGTTCATAGCTGAACATAAGTAAACATCATAGTTCTTTCAAAAAAGCAAAACATAGCCGGGCGGTGGTGGTGCACGCCTTTAATCCCAGCACTCGGGAGGCAGAGGCAGGTGGATCTCTGTGAGTTCGAGGCCAGCCTGATCTACAAAGCGA